TGTGTGTGTGTGTGTGTGTGTGTGTGTGTGTGTGTACCGTCAAATTGGATCTGACTGGTACAGGAGACTGCCCCTCCTTCTCCAGCAGAGCATGAAGTAGAGTCTGGGGGGTTTTTTCCCCCCCCAAGATGCCTGTTGAGGCCTGGGTTTCAGCTGTCCACACCACAGCAGTGGACAACGAGCTTAAATCCCCTGATGGCTCTGGGCGCTGACTCACCAGTGGCTACAGAGTATTCTTTTACAGCTGAGTAATTTCACATCATGTTCTCTAGACTCATCTATGCTGTGTAATGTTTCACTAGTTCTTTGTCTTATAATACTACGTAAAACTCCATTGTGGGAACAGACCACAGTTTATTTAGTTTGTTGATAGGCGTTTGTGCTGCGTCTATCTCCTTGTAAATAATGCTACAATAAACATGAGTGTGTATACATCCTTTCCTGTCACAGCTCTGATAGATTGAGTGTATACTCTCAGTAGTGGAATAGTTCAAATGGTATTTCTATTTTCGGCTTTTTGAGGAAACACCAACTGCCTTCCATAGTGGTTGTGCCATTTTAAATTCCCACCAAAAGTGCATGAATTCCAGTCTATCCTGATCAACATTTGTCATTTGCTGTCCTCTTAAAGTTTGCTATTCCTTAGGTGAGATGATAACTTGTTTTCATTTGCTTCTCTCTAATAGCTCCAGATTACTGTGGAGCAATGGTGTCCATTTGAAGACTAAGGTGTGCATGCAGTCTTTTCAATCATGTATTTGAGAGCTGAACAATGAACAAGAATCACAAGAAAAATGGATGTCTTTGAGTTGTGGTGTTGGAGAAGAGTGCCAAATATCCCATGGACAGCCAGGAAGACAAACATCTTGGAGAAAGTGCAGCCAGAGTGCTTGCTCATTGGAAGCGAGGATGACAAAGCTTCGTCTCACATTCTTTGGGCATGTTGTTAGAAGGGGTTGTTCTTTGGAAAAGGACATCATACTTAGAAGGATAGGCAGTCAATAAAAAGAGGAAGATGCTTAACAAGATGTCTTGATACAGTAACTGAAAACGTGTTCATCTATGTCAGAGATGATACGAGTGGTATTTGTGGTTTCTTGCTTACCAGAGTCTCGAATGCCTTGTTTGTTTTATCTTCATTGTTTTGGATTGTCTTTTAAGCTCCTCTTGTTTTTTGCCTGCAGTGTCCTGTAATTCTTTCACACATTGAAAA